GCTGCAAGGGGGGAGACAAAACATGGGAAAGCTCTGGAAAACCAGGAGACTGTGAGAGTGTCAAGGGGAGAGCTGAACGAGTTCCAAGGGGCTAAAAAGAAACGAGAAGTTTTTAGACTGACAGAGATACAGGTGCTGGTTCTGCACAGACCAGGCTGAGCCACAGCACATCCTCAGGCTCCAGCTGTGACATTCCACAGCTGGAATCGGGATTCCCTCCTTCCCTGCACAAATAACAACCTCAGCGGACAATTCACTCCAAAATGGCTTTAAAGAGGTGCTGGGGGATTCCTCCCTCCTCGTCTTCCTTCCTTTCACTGCTGTAACCAAATGCTGCATTTATACATGGCTCTGGAATACAAACTCTATTTTTTAACAATGTGTCATGCCATGACTTTACTGTAAATATGGTCAATATTAACTATGAACTAAAATAGTACATTACAGAGATATTTTACAGCCTTACACTGCACCTCACAAATCCATTTTCTTTTCAGTGTAAGTAGTTCACCATTTCTGTTTCAAAATTCAGGAGATGCACGTTACTACTTTTTAATTTGCTGGCTTTGCTTATTCTCGGTTAACTTAAGCAATAAACTTTGATTTATATTTATTTACATATGGTAGATATATACTTGTTATATATTCATATATAACCAATATAAATGTTTTTAATATGTATATACACATTTATATGTATTTTCCTGCCTAACTTTACTGAAAATATATATTGAAATATATATTTGTATCTCAAATAGTTATGCTAGGCAGGAAAATAAAGTCCTTTTTGCTCATGTGCCTTACTGTAATAATGCTCTCCTGAAGCATTAGGTCAGCTCTACTATGGCAAACAAGGCTAAAAATAAGACTTGAGAACAGTATGGATTGAGGTAAAACACGAGCAGCTGCCACTAGATGGCAAGACAGGCTCACATTACTTTGCAGGGCTGGGTTTGGGCTGGTTTTTATTTTTTTTCCCTTTATATAAGAGGAATATGTAACATTTGTATTTCAAACATGGTGTCGACACTTCTCTCCCATGCCATTCCAAGTTTATCTGGTGATCTGAAGTTGGTGAACGAAGCCAACCACTTGAAAAGCCCTTTAGAAAACACAGGCACCACAGAAATAATGTTTACTGGTAAGTTGAACTGGAAGATTATAAAAAAAATTATCTCTTTAATCTCTTAAAAAAAGAGATTTTTAAGAAATGTGCTGAAAAAAAGTAATGTGTTTAAAGAAAGGGCACTTCACTTATGTGTGAAAAGGTAGAGACAAGTGTCTAAGACAACACCTAAATGAACACACACTCCCAAACTTCCCTCTGGCCTCTGCTCATTTGCTCACTAACACCAGCATTGTCCACACGGATCAAATAAATGGTCTGCAAAAACACAAATGTAGCATCTCTCAAATTGTTTGGCTGCCTTAAAATATCAGTGAAGAGCAGGATGGAAATGGTCCTGAGTACCTGAAGAGCAGCAGTTGCACCTGCAAGACTGGATGTGGAAACCTGAAAGTCTCTGAATTCTATGACCTGTGGAAGATTTAACAGACTGTAACTGAGTTTGTAAGAGCCTTGTGTAAAGCTGTGGCTGCTGGCATTACCTACATCCACTAACATCGGACCCAAAGGTAATTATTTATTTTTTTTATTATTTAAATTATATATATATATATATATATATATATATAATATATATATTATATATATAATTATTATATATATAATTATATTATATATATATATATATATATATAAATAATTATATATAAATTATTTAAAATAATTATTTATTTTCAATATTATTTATTATGATCCTATTCAGTCTTTCAGTTGCTATGTCAGGGTCAGAGAGGGCTCCAGAACCAGGGACAAAGAGCAGGTCACGCTGATATCCATGACTGGACATATGAAGAAACTAACACATGACGTGGATTAAAAAGGTCTAAAAATTACTCAGAAAATGTCCCAAATGACTTTATTTTTTTATCACAGTAGCTAAGTGCCTTCCTCACACTTTATGTCCAGGATGTTATAGATGAGAAAACTGGAAAAGTATGAGGTATTTCCAGACTCAGGCTGGGGCTGGTTGGGCACTTCAAACATGTATCAATAAATGCATCTCACCTCTATGCAATCCAGTATGGTTTCATTACTTCTAGTGCCCAAAGCAGCTTTTTGGGTTACACTATTTGGAGTTAAAGAGTCCTGTATGGTAGAACTCTTGCACCCCCCACATTCAATTCTTGCTCCTAATGAACCAAGAGCACGTTGAGTTTCTGTTTCACACAGTCACTTCCAGAGTCCCTCTGCTGCTCAAATTGAGAGAAGATGCAGACAAAAAGTATGTATATGAACTTAAAGCTACATTCAAACACAAACAGACCAGTGGAGGAAACTGAGGCACATGCTAACTCCACATAAATACTGATTTTTCAAATTTCACTTTTGACAGTGCAAACAATTTCCATTGAAAATGAAAAAACCTACAAACAAAACCCCAAAACCTCATTTATTTGATAACAACAGCTGTACAACCCCACCACTGTGGCATTTTTCTGGACAGTCAGCACTGTAGTGACCCATCATTCCTTACCTAAACTGAAGTATTAAAGTACAACTACAGAGAGATATAAGACAAATTCAGCTGCTGGCTGCAGAACCTCTGCCTCTGTAGAGCAGGCATGAAGTGCCACAGGTTGCTAATTAACATCAGTGCTAATGGTCTACCTGCACGAGAAAACCTCATTTTACAAAGAGCAGAGTTTTACCACATACTGTCTGAGAAACAATTCTCCTGTATTTTTCTACCTCCACATGCTACACTAGCAGACTGCATTATTTTTTTTAAATAAAATATATTCCTTTTCTTCTATAAAAAATAAATGTCTCAAAAATCATGTTAGAGGTCAGCAGTGCCAACCAAAATCGACTCCTGTTGTTGTTTCTTCATTCCCAGCACATTTCCCTCCTGGCCCGTGACATTCCCCTGCTGTGACAGGAACAAACTGCAGCAGCAATGATCCCACCTTGCTTACATCCTTGTGAGTGCTCAGTACCCACCCAAAACACGAGTGCAAGAGGGAAGAAATGACTTTAAATCATCTGTGACCCCTGAGTTCTGCAAGCAGAGCTGGCAGGTGCTGGCTGTCAGCAGCTTCAGCTCAGCCCAACCCAAACAACTCCTGAAAGCAACAACAGGCACCCTTACCATTCCAGGGTGACCTTCCAGATACACTTCGGGCTAAAGGAATTAAAATGTTACGAGGCCTTTGTGGAGCAGAGTCTCAGTGCACCAAATACAGACACAAGCACCTCTCTCCTGCTCTGCCCATGTGGACTGAGGGGAGAACAAACTGTCTGCTGCCATCACCTGGGAGCGAGGGGCAGGTCTCAGCTCCATAGAGTGAGGGGCTGCCAGCTCTCACACCCAGACAGATGAGCCTGTTCTCTGTGGTTTGTTTTACCCCGGGATCACAGGAACTGCAGGAGAGGATGGAGAAGGAGCCTGTCCAGGTAAAGGTCTAGCAGAAGAGCAGCACCCATGAAGGAGGGAGGAGGGAAGGAAACTCACTGTGAGTTTCCCTTTCTTGCCTGTGATTTCACCTGCCTTTCACAGTGGCAGATGATGCCCAGACACATCAATGCACCCACTGCCATACCCCATTTCCAATCTTAAGCGTTCTTAAGCACACAGCTACAGCAAGAATTAATAATGTCTTGGAAAATGTTCCTTTTCACTCTCAGGCCTCGTAAAAAGAGCAGGATGATGTTGTGGCTTCAAGTTAGACTCAAGACAGATACTGGCATACAATGAGACTTTACCCGCACTCAGCTTTCTATCAGATTGTCTGGCTTACAACTTCAAAGATCTGGAGTGGCTAGAAGTCTATTCACACTTCTAAAAACAAAACTCCCACATCCTCCTTCTGCAAAACCTTTAAAATAGTTACTCTCTCCTCTGTACTTCACACACTTGTCCTATCTGTGCCCCTTCCCCATTTAGTAGTCATCACAGACAATAACAAAGAAAGTTAGTTCCTCTGACATCAGAACTGAAGTGGGAGGCTGAAGTAAAAAAATTTTTTTTCAAAAAGCGAAATATTGATATAATCTAAAAATTAGGACCAAAATTATGTACAAAAGAGCCTACCTAACCAGCTGCTCAAAGCACTAAAAGCAGAAATAAATTAATTAATGAGTTCTGCCAGCTCCCGAGAATTTTGTGACTGGCAGCAGCCAGATATTTTCCACTTCACTTCCAAGTGTCTTTTCATTCATGTGTTACAAACCAAGCCTCAGTTTGCCAGTGTGGAGGGAAAGCACTGAGTTTTGGTGAGGAGGAGATGTAAGCCCAGCCTGGGAGCAGCGCAGCCTCAGGTCACAAACACCAACTGGGCTTGCACTGAAATGTCATTTCCTCCACCATCACATGCTGTGCTGTGACTGCCCCAAGTGCTAAATGGGAGTTCAGCTCCACGGAGGACAGGCCTGAACAGAGGCAGCACATGGTCTAAATCCCTGACTTAGCTTTTCTAGGCAGTGGGGTTGAGGTCTTCAAGGTGCAGGGCAATGCTCAGTGGGATGTTCTGCATTGCCCAGGCTGAATTCTCACAAAAGCTCAGGAATCTGGTCTGTGGCTTTAGCACAGAGCTGAACACAACCAACAACATTCTGACTTTAAAATCTCCACGGAATGGTACGTATATTACCATAAGAAATTATTTAAATATTGTACTCAAGCATTTTTTGATCTCTGCTAAAAACCTGGCACCGTTTCTTGTTCTGTGTGCTGTACTACTTCATAAATTAAATACTCATCAGTCAGGTCCCTTCCTTCCCACCTGTCCACTTCTGTTCAAAAATAAACTCTCAAATATTGCACCACACAGTGAGACATAGTTCAGAACAGGACCTTTTCTACAGACTTGCAAACAGTATTACAGAGGATTTTCTATCCTAAAATTCCTGTAATCATAATTTTTTTTCTGAATACCTGAAAAAACCCCGGTGGTACTGGACCTACTGGCATGCCATCTCCTGGGGGAATGTTTCCTAGCACTGGGCTGGGAGCTGCTGCAGCACTCTGAAAAGAACAAAGGGAGAATAAACCTTTGTCATTGCATGGTAGGCATTAAACTCCCCCCAAAAAAACCCCAAACCTGACCAAAGTGCAGAAAATAATTATCTGGATATGTCATTATGCCATTGTTTCATCTAAAGGTAAATTAAAATTGTTTAGCCTTTTGTCTATACGAGTACCATGATCTGTTGAAATAACAAATGTATTTTGAGGGGAAGGATGCCAGATATTGCACAGGCCAATTAGGCAAAGCTTGACTGAATTTTAAAAAATGTTGTATCTGAGTGTCTCTACATGCACCAATGTGAATGTAAGTTGCATACTTCTTGTCTCTGCATATGAACAGTCTCACACATGCACAAGGATATATACAGAGCATAGAAAAAGTAATTTATGCATTTTATCAGCAATTTCTAAGCACTTTAAAGATAATTTCAGCAGCCTGTAATATTTTTTAAGAACAACAACAAGCTTCAAAACAGGGCTGTTATAAACAGTACAAGAAGGGATGCTCATGATTCTGCTGGTAATGCTCAAGATTTTACCAACCCCAAAAATAACCACCATGACAAATTAGAAGAATTCAGGTTACGTTTTTGGAAGGGAAAAGAAAAAAGGGATTTCTAAGGAGTGAATCAGAGGATGAAATTAGTTACCTTTGCAAATCCTTCAGCTGGAATAAGCGAGTAAAGAATATTGCTCCTGGCAATTTTCATGCAGGAGATTGTCACAGAAAAGAGAAGCCAAACTGTTTCTGTTGTCATGTGCTGGAACCTCAATTACTTTTAATTTCTAGCATTCTTCCTTCCTACAATGTGTTTCTGTATGGCATGAGGCTGAATCACCTATAAATGCTCAAAGTCTTGAGTGAAAGTACTGGAGCACACAGAATGCTCCCAGAGCCACTGGCAGGTTACTAATGACCTGCCAAAGCCTGCCCTGCAAAACACACAGATATTAAATTATCACTCCATTTATGGTGCACCCACACTCGATACCCTAAAGATGCAGATCTGGAAATTGCATTTCCAGGTGTTTGGCACAATACCTAGGAAAGGAAAGAATGCTGCTGGAAAGACCTGAAGACTGGCACAAAAGGAGGGATGACCTTTTTCAACCAAGCAGAAAGGAAACATTCAGTTAATCACCACATATTTTTTTCATGGCTTAAGCTGTGTTTTAGAATCAAAGTTCTGAACAACTAGCAGTAACATATTTAGCATCCAAGCTGAATGTTCTTTGGAAAAGTCTGGAATGTATCACTGAAATATAAAGTCTGCAAAAGATGCTGGATTTCAAAATGAGTGCAAGGCTTTTATTCATGAAGAAATCATCTAATAAAGGGTATTGTCTATGCAAGGATCAGTGCTGAAACACTGTAGAATTGCAGCTGACAGGGAAAGCCAGCCAGGTGAGCTGGGTGCAGCAAATCCTTGGAATTATAACCACAAATCATGCAGGGAAAGGCCACCACAAAGCAGCCAGAGGGGCTGTGGCCAAAAAACGTGGTGCTCTGCCAGCCACTGCCATTCACATCAAATAATTATTTTTGTATCATTTCCATTTCCAAAGGGAAACAGGAAAAAAGCTGTTGGTTTGTTGCTGTTTGGGGGTTTTTTAAGGAAATATGATCTCTTTAAGCATCAATGTGCAATAAACCCACGAGAGGCACAGTCTGAGTGGAGCATGCTGGATGCATAACACAGGTACAGGTTTTCTGGATGAAGGATGACAAACAGCAGCACCACTGATGGAGAAAATCAATGATGTTAAAAGCCTGAGCATCTCCAAATGGCCCAAAGAGCCTGAGCTGCAACCAAGGAGGAGCAGCCCATTAAAGGGGCACTGCTGGGCTTCACTGCAGCACCGCCATCCCCTCACTGGGCACACAGGTGACACATGCCACGTGTCCCCTGCCAGCTCCTTGGGGTGACAGGGGAGGGAACAGCCCCTTGGGATGAAAGAGCTCCTGCAGGGACACAGCACCCTGCTGCTGACAGCTCATGCTCTTTCCCACTTTGAAAATTATTCTTTAAAAACCCCCAGCAAATTTAGTTCAAAAATAGAGGGGAAGGGAGAAATAATGACTATTCCAGAACAAAGGGAGAAAAGGATTGAAGTTATAACTGTTAGCCATTTGCTGGCTAAAAAGGCTTTGTAAGAAATATACCTAAAAATAACATTTTCATAATTGTCTCAGAGAGGTGGGGTTTTCCCCTGTTTCTGCATCTTCCCTGGCAGTGACACCAGAGGAACCCAGCCCCGTTGCTGGTGAATCACTCGATGTGCTGGTTTGATTTTCAGTGGGTTTTCAGTGGATTCAGTGGAGTTTCAGTGCAAACCCCCTGCCCTGCCCCTGTGAGAGGAGGGAGGGAGGACTCAGCAGCAGGGCAGAGCTGCAGTGCCACAACCCCCAGAATTCTGCAGTTACACTCTCACGTGTCACAGAAACCTCCATTCCTACCCTTCATTATGCAATGCACTGGCTTTTTTTTTCTGTTTTCATGTTTGTTTGGGATTTTCTTCCCTGATGGGCAATGAAGTCCCAAAGCCAGAAATAAAGTATTTTCAGTGTTTTGGGTATATTACATTTTCTAGCTTGTGCTAAATAATGAATCTTTTAAGAACTTCTACCAGGTAGATCGATAAACAAACCTGCAACTGCTGCATGGAAATATTCTTATTTATTCTATCCTGATGAATTATTCATTCTTTTTCCACAGTCCCATAGCAAACCATGGCCTCCTTTTGCATGCCTTACAAGTTGTTCATCATTTATACTTCCCTTAGTTTGACATTTTAAATATTTGCAAATTGCTTTCCCTGCTTTTCATAAAAAGATGAAATCGGAAAATTTAGATGGTATAAACTCCTTGTACAGTAGCTAACCTCCTTAAAAATGGAAATCTGTATTTGCTTTTGCAGCTAAAATAATGAATTTATACTAATGAATTAATAATAATTTACAATTATTAATTAAATCTAGGTACTTGACTGAAAGTTATTATGGTCATTCCTTCTCTACCCACGTTACTCTTGGCAATGCAAAAATAGATTATTATCGTAACTAATAAAACTAGCTATGGTTTAGGATGGATTTTATAATAAAGAAATCCCAAAGTAAATAAAATGTAAAGTAAAATCATTTAGCTATTCCACTAGTATAGTATCTGAAGTATAAAAATCCAGAGTAAACCTGCAATGCTCATTTTTTGAGGCCATCCCAAGAAGTGGCTGATGAGGGAAGCTTACAAAGAATTTCACTTGAAACCAAAAAATGGTACAAAGAAATTACTTGACTTCATAAAAATCCTCACCTGGCTCTTTCCTTCACCAAGACATTCAATTTCAGGTATTTTGCTTACACTAAAACTTTCTTATTTCAATCCAAAGTTTACCACGTTACTAAATTTGTCCACTCAGGGGAAAGTTCTGTTTTTAAGAAGTCTCACTGATGGGAAATGATGCAACCTACTGGATGATGGAGGGGAGGAGCTGGACCCTACAAATAAAAGTGTTAGACACCCAATTCCCTCATCCCCTCTCCCTCCTCCATGTCAGCCCTAAATCTACTCTTATCATTCAGGAACACAATATTTCCAGATATTCATACAAGCAACCAAAGCATGGCATCTCCAGACAAAGATATTCTGCCGTGGATGGTACGGACACAATCAGCTGAACTAGAGCAGAAAGGATCAACATCTCAGGATATTTTACACACGCTGGTATTGGGGTAATGAAACAACTTGAATGGTGAATATGGAGTGTGAAGGACAATGCAGGAAACCACAACCATGTTTGAAATGCTGGTGAGAGCAGCACAGTCAGAAGGAAAAACACAAAATGTCAAAACTTAAACAATTGCTGGTTGGGTTTTTTTTATTTTCTCTTTCTCCTTTTCTGGGGGCAGGGGATAAATATCCAGTTCATTACCTTAGAGAACTATGGGAAGTAAGGAATTTAAACGTAGTTGTAGGTTGTTTTGGGGGTTTTTTTCTGGAAAGACAGATGATGGATGATTACTATTTCCAGTCATATTTACCACCATATTTACCAATTTCTGGTCATTGATAGCTTTGAAGTGCAAGGCATACTGCAGCCAGTACCATAAAAAAATACTGAATTTCCTTTCGTAAACACTTCAATTTGTAATTTACCAAGTCTTTCTAAGACACCAGCTGGTTCCTGTAACAGACCTTCCCTATTTGCACCCATCACAAAATAAAGAGGTATTAAAGGAGCTACACTGATTAACCACTAGCAACCTCCTTGCTTTCTCCAAGATGGAACAAAAAACTACTCGTCACTCTGAACAACAAAATAAATAAAATTTCAAATATTTTAAATAGGTCTCTGTGCCTTTTGCAAAGCCTCTGACCATGTGGCTGCACACCAAGAAGCCAAAACCCCCAGACTGAGCAGCCTTGGTTTACTCAACACAGATTGGAAGGTCATGCCCAAAAAAGGTGGATTCATCACACTGAAGGAGGCAGGTAATTCGAAAGATCTGGATCATGAGGCGTAATTAAACCCTGGCGTAGCTCCACTGATATATATTTGTCTGAACTGCTTCATTTCTGTTGTGTAACAGGAAGGCACTCACATGACTGCACAAGTCTGAGAACTGTGACTGTGGAAGGTCATTCCTTACAACTTCTCAGTTTTCCTCCAATCCCATCTCCCTATGGTTTCATCTGGATTCTGCTATTTTATTTCTCTTTATTCCATCTTATTTATGAGTAACAAAGAATAATAAAAATAATGATGCCATCAATGCAGATGAAAAAAACCCCACATTTATTCCTTTTCTTGGAAACACAAAAAGGGTTGCACCAGCAGATGTGGTCATTTAGGGAAGAGCAGATCTGTTGATAATGATGATGATGATGATGATGATGATGATGATGATGAAGGTGTCCTCTGAGACTTCACCCATCCTTCTTCCCTGTGAAATAATTCTAGCCCCAAACCCACCTCACTCCAGCAAATATCTGAGGTGG